TCAGGTTAAAATATACACTTTAAAAAACTAAAATCTGAAGAATAACAACTCTCATTCCACAGGCGTAGTTTCAGTTACCAACGCTGAGTAGGCTCTATGGGTCTGCTCCACTGCATTGTGCTTGTAGTTAACAATAGTATATTACTCACTGAAACTTCAGGTAGATTTAAATTAAGTGTGCTTAATAAAATAAAACAGGATCTGAAATTTTAGAGCTAGATGGTGTGTTTATTCTTAGTCTTGCAATTGCCAGTAAAATCTGATCCAGGAGTTCTCATGGCCACTTCTAGTCCTTAAATCTGGCCTGATCTCAGAAACATCTTGCAAACCAGGCCATGGAGATAGCTCAGCAGACTAAGCACAGGGACTGGGTTCAATCCCCAGCACCACGTGCTGCACTGGACCCGCCCCCAAGCGCACTGAGCCAGCCACCGAGACCAGGTGTGGTGGTGCATACCTATAATCCCATTGCTGGGGAGGCTGAAAACAGGAGGATCACTGTGAGTTCAAGCTGTGTAGTGAGACCCTGTACTAAATACATAAAATCAAGTTTTCACAAACCTGTACTAAATACATAAAATCAAGTTTTCAACTTAATAAAATCACCATGAGTCACAGTGGCCCATGACTGAGACTGTGGCCATGGTGAGGACTCTAGCGACTGATCACAGTCTAGGGCCTGGACCTGTGAACTCTGATGTACAGCAGTGGCCCACATAGTCAACACAAAGTAGCCAAGTCTGCAATGTTGAAGGCCCACCAATTGCAAAACCAAATGCCCCGTGTCAATCACAGGATTATAAAAGTGTCTACAACACTGTTCAAATCTGGTGTTTTTATTAAGAACTGGTATGGGCCTTTCTATGGGTACCCAGCACACATTTTCACTGTACTCTCCACAGAACACTCTCTCTTGACCTTTATGTATCACGTGTAATTATGGGCTAGCCACTGGATTTGAGGATGAAAATACAGTGAGAGAAATGAACCTTGTCCTCCTGGAGCTCGCTTTCTATGACAAAAACATTGAATAATCCAGTAGTGACAGAAAGAAGCATAAGATCATAATTTGTAGTAAATAGCATAAAAGAAAAATACAGTACAGCATGGTAGCATATAACATAGATCCCACTTTTATTAAGCTACAAATCCAGAAGGGAGCTACTTGCTCCTTATAAATTATAATCTATTCATCTAATTCCTCTCTTGCTAGTCTTCTCTAATGATAGGTTTGGAAAGCTAGCAATATGTGAGCTAATAAGCTTTAAAGAATAGAGTACTGAATTAGGAAATACATTTCACACATTTAATTGCTGTGCCTTTGGCAGGCATGATGTAGTTTTATTTTTATTACAGTTGTTTACATGCTCCAAATGCATATGAAAGTGTGCAGTAAAGACTCTCTAATTTGCTATTATTAAATCTCTGAACTTTGACATGCATTATTTTGAGATGATAATTATATGACTCACAGACTGTCATTAGGAGATTTATTGAGTTTTCTTGCAAAATACATGATGTCAAATGAGGATATAGCACTGAGCTAAATCTTTCTCATAAGAGAATACATCTTACTTTCCTGTGGTTTGCGACCACCAAGGTGAAGCTGTGCTATATTCATGATGATAGGATATTTTTATTTTATCCTTGTTTTTTCTGAATAATTAAAAACTGAGTAGCCCAAATGTGGCATTGCCTAAAAGACAGAAATGTTTCTAAAACTTTCTCAGAATACCAGTGTGATTTTTCTTAGCATTTCTAAAACTTCTTCAGTTATTTTGTATCATCCATAATGTTCATGATATTCTCCAGTAAAAGTCTACAAAAATCACTCCACTATAGCACATACGTGTATCTGTCAGTCAGTAATTTATATTTGATCAGGGTTTCCTAGGACAGCACATTTTCCATTAATCAGATCTCCAGGTAACTTCGTGTTCATATGAGTAAACTTCAGCATACAGTAAGGCAATGTGAACTATCACGTGATATGGAGGGAATAAGAGTTTATTCTGATGGCCTTGGA